GTGAAAATATCTGTTCAGAGGCAAAATGTCATTAAAAGCATGCGTAAACGTCATCTGATCCGGCCTGATAGGGCACGATCAGATCGTTCCCGAGAACCGTTTGACGCGAACAAGGCCTTACCAGTCGTGGAGTGAGTACCGGGAAACGAACTCGAACCGTTATGCCAATGCATACTCACAGAAGCAGATCTCGCGGCCCAACGGGAAGAGCGTAATCTCGTCCACCAGACTGTGCTGAAATTATCCAAAAAGAATAAGACGGTTTCCATGTGCCTAGACAACTGCGACCTCTACCACCTGTAAGCCGTCTCTCCAATCATACGACTGCCATGGCCAGGACAGTTCCTATCGATCTCGAGACTGAATAGGGCTAAGCAGTTTGAAAATTAATCAGCGAGTACCCGAGGTAGCTTTCGTATCACCCTCCATCCTGCCTCACTGTGCATCAGAAATAAAATTTTAACATCCCCTCACCTCCTATCGACACTTTGAGTACCCACTCAACGGAGGCGATTCTACTTAAGCCCTCTCAACATAAAAAATTCTACTGTGTTGGTCGAAAGGGCTGTTAAAATCCTTGTTTTTTCCACTAGTGTTAATTCGGGGGTAAAAGTCTTGCAGGGTTTGTGATCACCGATCGCCTCCAGCTCTCGTAAGCCCAGTTAGGCGGATTATGTAGTAAAGTAATGTAGAAGAGTTTCGGTTCGCCCCGAGGTCAACTGCGGTGCAGAAAAGACTGCCTTAACGCGCCCTTGCCATGTCGCCACAGCCCACGGCAAAGCGTTCTTACTCAAACGACCAAGCCGATTGTTGCAAACACACTGGCCAATCAGCTTAGAGCTTATTAATGCCCGTCCCTGATTGGTGTCTTGTAAACTTGTGCATGACCTTGAGAGAGCAGGGTACACGCCCCAAAGCCGTCTAGCACGTGTGCGTGTGTATGCGAGCTGCACGCGCTGACGCGAACAGTTCTCGCGCCGGGTTGGCTGCCGTCGCCCCCCGTTCGCTGGGGCTTACACCGCCAGTCTGTCTGTTTGTGCCCGCACAGTGTGAATGCAGGAGCGCACGCACAAATGCCCTCCACCCGAAGGACGACGAATCAAATTTTTTAACCGTCTGTGAACTGAAATCCAATTTACATAGTATAAACAGATCCTTCTTAGAAATAAGTCACAGTGCACTGAGAAATTTAGGCTGAAAAGCCGCTGACGGCATCCGTCAGTTTAATTGTGTGGTGTTGGCTAAGAGCTGTCTCATTGAAAAAATGGTAAAATGAAATAAATTGTAATTTACAAGCCAAAATGTACTTTTTATCGGAAAATATGATGACCCCACGTATCCGTAGTCCGCCCTAGACTCTCCTTATTCTAAATCACCCATCAAGTGGAACACTAAAGTGTGTCGAATGGGTCGATATGTTTGCGTAAACGCCTTGGTTGATATAAGCTTAATAAAAAAAACCGAGGAAATCACAATTTAACAGAAACCGGGCTTTCATTTTTGGTTTAAAATAGCCCTACTGCTCCATTTACACACACATATATTTATATATGAAGTGTATAAATCGAACGTATTATACCGTACTCCAGACATAGCTACTAACTGAAAGTCCAGACAGTGTTTCGCCGATATTCTGCTGCTGCGTGACACAGCTGTGAGGGGTTCGGCTCTTCAGTGGGACCCCCAGCGTTCTCTATGCAGTTTCTGGTAATATGAACTCTAGAGAATAATCAAGTGAATAATTTGAGAAATTACTCAGTGCAGGACATGGAGTTAAGTCTCCGGAACATTACTTTTTAGGGTCAGAAACGAGATTTCAATGAACATTTGAGTCGAAGACATTCGGCTGCTGTGGGATAATCACTCCATATCCTGCACTGAATAATTTCTGAAATTATTTGCTCCATATATATATATATATATATATATATATATATACCATATTAGGGTTACCTTCGTCTAAATATGACAGCCAGCACCATTGGTAACTTAGAGTGCTCTAGATATACCGGTTTCACTAATCAGTGTTGTCCATTCCACGCGACAGATAGCTAGTCTTCGGACAATTTCGTCCATTGGAGCTTTAGTACTGAAGACGGAAGACTGTGGTGTTCAGAATCTTCTCAAAGACTGTCAAAACAAAATCTACTCGTTCCTTCAGTTGGCTACCATGCCGATTATCAATACGAGGTCCGGAATTCAAGGATGAACCTCTATTCGGGTCGACGTTGTGTATGAGCTAACCATCTTAAACGACGATCCTCCGCTACAACAAAGTCGCTGGGGTGTCCCAATTGACGGTTGGGTTCAGTGTTCGCGGTGTTCTCTTTGACTCGAAAATGCAGTATTTTCTACAGGCGCGAGCGGTCAAATATCTTTATTATCTTCAGGTTTTGCAGCCTTAGAATATTTTTTCTTTTGGAGAGAGGTCACAGACACTTTCGGAGGCAATCGAGATGTTCCGCGTGATTTCTACGTAGCCCTTAGGTCTAAGCGGTCGGTAACACGGTGGGAGCGAGGGTTGATGTGTACGTGCGAAGAGTAATTTAAATCAGGGGTGTGTTGAAAGTTTCCTTAATTAGATTTGTCCAACACAGCACAGCTGGCCTAAGGCTCCGCCTATTTTATACACCAGCGCAGATTTTCACTCCGGAAAAGTACAGAAATAAAAAGCTGCATAGCTAAAAAATCAGCCTATTTTTCCACCTGAAAAACTATGATTGGAAATGTTAAAAAATGCGATTTAGACTCCTCGGTATAGAGGTGCCGGCTGTTGGGATGGCTTTTAAGGATGTCATTTTTTAACACAAGCCTCTCAAAGGAAAGTAAGAGTTTTTTTCCAAAGTTGAAGATTCGCACCAACAAGCAATATACCGATTATATGAGTCTACAGCTCAGGCACTCGCCTGGTGTTAAGCATGAATAGCAGATGACGAAAAATAATCAGTGTTCGTTTTCTGTACCATTAACTCTTCCCTGTTGTGTAGTAATCTCAGGTTTGGACCAGTCAAATACCTAACTCCTAAAGTTAGGAAACGCAAATGCCCTATTTTGTCTAACAGATTCATTTGTAGCAAGAAACTACCACAACAGAGTTAAGGGTCTCCAACTATCTTATTGGTTACCGGTTTTGAAGCTAGGTTAGTGATAAAATTGTATTTTATAAACACACAGGGATATATATATATGATGACAGTGGGCGCTCGCCGATCAGGTTGCGGAACATGCTCGTTCCGTTGTGCCTTGGGGCTCATACTAGAACCCTCGCAGGCAGTCGCACAGCGAGTAGTGATATATGTTGATAAGGTGATACCGACAAAGACAAGGGAGACCGGAATGGCCATTTCTGGCTTATTAACCCTCATCAGCCAGTCATATCCAAACCCAAATGTGGCAAAAGTGTGGTATGTTCCGTAACCTGATCGGTGAGCGCCCACTATCATAATTGATATTCCCGATCACAACCGACAGGACAACGGGCCCGTGGCTCAATGGTAGAGCGCCAAACTTCATGACCAAAGATCCCGGGTTCGAACCTAAAAGTGATCCACAACTGGGGTTGGGTACGACTGGCTGATGACGGCTAATGAGCCAGAAATGACTATTCCGGCCTCCCTTGTCTTTGTCGGTATCACATGATTTACATCATTCTACTAGTCGTTGTGCGACTGCCTGCGAGGGTTCTAGTATGAGCCCCAAGGCACAACGGAACGACCATGTTCCGTAACCTGATCGGTGAGCGCCCACTATCATAATTAATATTCCCGATCACAACCGACAGGACAACGGGCCCGTGACTCAATGGTAGAGCGTCAAACTCCATGACCAAAGATCCCGGGTTCGAATCTCAAGTGATTCACACTTGGGGTTGGGTATGACTGGCTGATGACGGCTAATAGGCCAGAAATGGCCATTCCGGTCTCCCTTGTCTTTGTCGGTACCACATGATTTACATCATTCTACTAGTCGCTGTGCGACTGCCTGCGAGGGTTCTAGTATGAGCCCCAAGGCACAACGGAACGAGCATGTTCCGTAACCTGTTCGGGGAGCGCCCAGCTGTCCATGACAGTTTATCGACCGCCGAGACGGTACAGCATGGCCGACGCTGGCCTTTTGGAAGAGCTCGAGCAGTTCATTACGCGGCCGGATCTCCTGATCATGGGCGACTTTAACGCGCCTCATATTGACTGGAGCTCGACCCATGCAAATAACTCAGAACAGACCTTCGATGGGATTTTCCTGAACACGAAACTGAAGTTATTTCTCACTCAACACGTCAGGTTTCCAACTAGAGTACACGAAGGCCAAACAGGCCAACTGCCTTGATCTTGTCCTTACGGAACCACAGGACAGCATTGATGAGGTGTCATACCTACCCCCCCTTAGGTAAAAGTGACCATGTCGTTCTTCTATGGGATTACTCGCTTTTTTCCCTGCCCGAGAAACCCGTAACAGTTGGAAGAAACCTTTGGCGCGGGGATTTCGACTAAATAAGGGCTGAAATTTCGCGCATTGAGTGGGACTTCGTATTTATTGGAAGCATACTCGAAGACTGGCAACGGTTCCGATAAATGCTGCACAAGCTGATTGCAAACCACTGTCCGCTTGCACGGAAGAGGTTAACTAACATATCTCGATGGCTTACGCAAGCCTTGAAGAATGAAGTGAATGAAGATCGAAGGCTGGGGAAAAAAAAGCTTTCTGACAAGAGCCCCACATCTATATGTGGGTACGAAGTTCAAAGAAATCGGGTTAAGGCCTTACCCTCAAAACTAGCAGGGAATTCGGACGGGATCTGCTTAACCGTGCCGCGGAAAACCCTAATTTATTCTATGGTTACATAAGGCAGTGCACGCGGAACAAGGATCCAATACCCCTGATAAAGACTGCTGAAGGCGAACATCTCACTGAAAACAGAGCGAAGGCTGATCATCTTTCAGAATTTTTCGGTCTGTTTTTAGTAGTGAAACAGGATTCAGCCCTTCGAAGACACCACAATTATGGAGATCGTTCAGTTCACTGAGGGCATGGTTCTGACGGAGTTGATGAGGCTAAAGGAATCAAAATCACCAGATCCCCATGTGATTTCGGCGATGATTTTGAAGGAATTCACCGGTGAGTTGGCTAAGCCACTCTGCATGCTTTTCCATACATCCTTCGAGACCGGATATCTGCCACCCGACTGGAAGTCGGCGTGGATTACGCCGCTGTATAAGGGCGGAAGTCGAATCTCTGAGAACAGTTACAGACCTGTCAGCCTCACCTCCATTTGCTGCAACATTATGGAGAAAATAATAAAGCAACAATCAATGCAGTTCCTTGAACAAAACCGTCTGCTTTCCGATTCCCAGCATGGATTCCGCAAAAGCAGATCCTGTGTGACAAACTTGCTCTACTGTCTGGGACACTGGACCCGGGCTGTTGATAGAGGAGATGTGGTGCATGTCATTTATATCGACTTTAAAAAGGCCTTCGACGCTGTACCTCACCACCGCCTTCTATACAAACTCAGCCGTACGGGAGTGCGAAGTAAGCTTCTGATGTGGATTCGAAGCTTTTTACTCGGCCGCTCTCAAGCCGTCCACGTCAGTGACGAGCAATCTGCCGAGGTTGCCGTTAGGAGTGGTGTTCCCCAAGGCTCTGTTCTTGGCCCTACAATGTTCCTCGCATACGCCAACGACTGCGCAAACGAACTGGATTGTGATGTCGCAATGTTTGCTGATGACATAAAGATCTGGAGTACCATACGAAGCGGAGTTGACGAGGCGCGACTGCAGACAAATCTAGACCGCCTCGAGCAATGGTCAAAAGACTGGCTTTTACCGTTCAACGTCAACAAGTTTAACTTCCTACGTGTCGGCGGAACCAGTTTTCCTAACCGCACGGTCTACCGTCTGACTGGTAAACCACTGCAAGAAGTCGACGCCCAGAAGGATTTGGGTATATGGATCACAACCTCGCTTAAGCCTTCGCTGCAATGCTCAAGGGTAGCCAAGTCGGCGATGTCCATTCTATACCCCGTCAAACGGGCGTTCTCTTACTTTGATGAAGACTGCTTCGCCAAGGTCTTTCGAACTTTAGTGCGACAACATCTGGAGTTTGCTATGCAAGAATGGAGGCGCTGGACAGCTAAAGACCTCGGCATACTCAAGAAAGTTCAACGGCGAGCAACGAGACTTGTATCTGGACGAAACACGATTAACTAATCGTGACCTCTCTCCTTTGAGTTACAGACAACTACGTGAGGACCTGATACAAGCTTTCCGCATCGTGCGCAATCAGGGCTGTTGCCTCGCATCTGGAGACTTCTTCGAGTTGGCGACTACGACTAACCTGAGAGGCCATCCACTCAAACTACGTGTGACTGGTGCCCGGTTAGACACACGAAAGTTCTTCTTCTTCTTCTTCTTCAACAGAGTGGTCGCAGCTTGGAATGCTTTGCTTGAGGATGTTGTTATGTCAGGATCCGTAGACACTTTTAAACGGACGCTGGAACAACATTGGAGCGCGCACCACAATAACGCCAGACTACAGCCACCTTGATGGCCAACGTTGAGAATCTAGTGTTATGACGATGCTACTATCAATATTCAAGTGCGCTTCAACTGTCTGCTGCATTTAGTCAACAAACCGAGTGCATATACCTTTAAATGCTGTTAAGGCATGAAATTCTGCGTTCATCTGTACAGTGTTTGTTATTCCCCTTGTATTTCTTTCACGTTACTTCCTTTCCATTGTCCCTATATACTTCCTCTGCATGTAACCAATAGGGATTCCAAAGGTATACACCTACTTTCCCTGAAATACACTGATATTGAAACTGACATATATATATATATATATATGATGATGAAAAAGTGAAGTAGTATGCATTCCGAGATGATATGATGAAAGGAGGAAGTCCGTCGGAAAAAGAGCTTTACTCGTAAATTTTCGAGCTGATTGCACCAACCCGTCGTCAGACAAAGTAAATAATGAGAGGTGGGATTGTCACACTGCTGGTTGGGGACGCAGACAGAGAGGTGAGCAGTGGCCTACGCGAACCTGCCCGCCAATTGTTGATACGATTACGCATGATTTCTGAAGGGACGCGAGCCATCTGCGTTCCCGGCTCACACGGATTCAACGCAACTAGACAAAAGCATGCTGCGAACCAACTGAGTGGTATTTAGGCAATACAAATAACAAGTATTCGGCAGATTACCAATTTCCGCCCTCGGCCTTTAATATATAATGTGTTTACCATTACGAGTCCAAAAGAACAGCCGTCAGACTCGAAAATAGACTCGTCCCGCAAGTCCCGCACGGAAATATTCGCGATTCGCACAGTTAGCGAGCAGACCTCGGTAGTTCAGGCGGTCGACAGCTCAGTTGGACCCTGCGGCAGGTGTCTACTGGCTTATAATACCATCGTAATTGATTCAAAGACTGGATATCGCCAAATGAGAAGAAGCCTTTGAAAGCTCTAATTTAAGGGCGAGCATGAGTCCCCGGTTTACGTCAGAATCAGCCCTGAGGCTCTGATGAGAGAGCCCGACATGCACACCTACTTCCCATGCAGTACGCGTTACGTCCTCACAACGCAATTGTGCGACCCGGTTTTTAGCCAAGGACACTTGGGGCCGATACGTCATGAGACATTACAACGCTGCCCAGATGGTGAACTCGTGTCTGGGTACGACAGTTCGGAGAGCTCTGCTGATTATCTCGCAAACCGACAGTTCTTTCGCATCGGTTAATACAATGCCTCCAGTAGCGTCAGGATTTATCATGCATCCAAATTTATTTGCGCCGAATATCAAAGCTATACCGACAAAAAGGGTAAAACTGTTTTGGACCTAGTCAAGATCTTCTGCGGTCTGCTTGATCACAGATCATCCCCCCCCGGAAGTTTGGGATTCCGCTGCGGCTGACCCATCGGTTAGAACTAATACGATTGAAGGTATGATTCGGGGGTACGGTTGATCAGGTAAAACTTTTAAAATTTCTGAAACGACTGCTTTTTCAACCCTGTTTAGTCTTGCTGGTGACAAGAGTTCGCTAAGTGGGAATGTAATTTTGAGTAGCGTTGGGCAAAATCAGAGTCGACCACGCTTATCGCGTCGCGATGGTTTTGAATGGAAAATCGCCTCCGGCAGCCGCCTAAACCTACCTCGAGCAGAAATGACTGACAATGAAGCATATGCCATTCAAGTGCTTGAATATGCTTGCATAAATTAGTTTTTCTGAGAGAATCAACATCTCGTCCAATTATTGCGATATTCTTCGCGTGAACTTACTCATGAAATGTCAACCGAAATTCCGAAATACGTTTTCGCGTCGAAAAGATTAATTAACTAGGCTTGTAAAACCAATCAGTCTGCAGTATAATTCAGTTACCTCAGGATGCTGGCTTTCGAACGAACTTCCTTCCGGCTGCATACAAAAACTATACTTTGTAAAAAATGACTACTTATGTAGCATGCATTTTTCTCGTTGATTTCCGATGCCTTTAAAAGTCTAATTATATTTCATGGAGAAGATGCATAAAAATATTCATTCTTCCGCTGATTCGGTAGAAAATTACGTCTTCTTTCACTCTTACACTCGAAGGAAGGGTAAAATTTGGTTTTTAAAAACTTTTCCAATTCTCGAGTAAATTTGAACCCGCTCTGCCGTTATACTTGCATCCAGGGTTTCCAAACTACAAGCCGTATATTTTCCGCGCACGGAAAACCACACATTTCTCTACGGTATTAAGAGGAGACCATATGGGGTTCATAAAATTTAGCATTGGATTTGATCCATATCGCTAACTTCACAAGCCACATTGGTAAATGCAGACATGACGTTTTATATACGGCCATTTCACGGTACTAAGACGTCTCACAATTAGAAACCTTCTTTAAAACCAGATTATACTCTTCCTTCGAGTATAAAATTGGAAAAAGACGTAATTTTCTACCGAATGAGCGGAATAATGAATATTTTTATGCATGTTCTCCGTGAAATATAACTGGACTTTTAAAGGCATCGAAAATCAACGAGAAAAATGCATGCTACATAAGTAGTCATTTTTTACAAAGTATAGTTTTTATACGCAGCCGGAAGGAAGTTCGTTCGAAAGCCAGAATCCTGAGGTAACTGAATTCTTATAAAATTATACTGCAGACTGATTAGTTTTACAAATCTAATTAATTAATCTTTTCGAAATGGAAACGCATTACGGAATTTCGGTTAACATTTCGTGAGTAAGCCCACCTGCTGTACGTTAGGTGATCTCGATTAGAAAGGATTATCTAGGTTTCATCGTAGTATTTGCTGTCTTGCAGCATAGTTCCAGTATATTTCAGTGACTCCGGGATGCCGGATGCTGAATGTACTTTTTTACAGTCTCTTGTAAAAACAATACTCGACAAAAATGACTACTTAGGTAGTAGACACTTCCTGCTAGTTTTCGGTATTCTTATAAATTAAAATTTGATTTTCTGAAGACCTAAATAAAATACACCTTATCATACTCATTTGATAATGAGTAAAATATTACTCAAGTTGGCACTTGAAGATAGGGCAGCTTTCATAATAAGATTATAAGATTTTTTGATACTGTGAAGTGTCCATTCAAACACTATTGTGATGGTCCATTTATTAAAGCTCGGTGTGAAACATACATCATGGTTCACAGTTATTTCCAAATTTTGTGAGTCACGTGTGACATCTTAATAAAATGGAGGGCTGAGCACCTTACCTTACATGGAAATTATGAAGCTTGTGATTTGGAAACCCAAAACGCAAGTTCAACGGTAGGTAGGGTTCAGAATTATTTGAGCGGTGGAAAAGTGGAAAATCACGAGTTACCTCTCTGTCGAGTATACAAAAATTAACTAAGACGCAATTTATGATCAAAGGATTACAAAAAAAGATATTTATGCACAGGTTATCTATGAAATATAGACGTGTCCATAATTGCACCAGAAATGGTTTGAATCAAATAGATACTACTTAAGTAGTAATTTTTATAGTGCAATTTTGGAAGGACGATGGGAACGAACCTCAATCAAAAGCTAGCGTCCAGGCGTAACTTCGTCTCTCGGAGAACCAAACCGGAACTGTCACCTCCATGAATTTGATAACCAGTATTGCAACCCAGTTAAGTAACGCTTTCTGAGTGCAAACACATTTCGGAATTTGGGCTAACATTTCATGAGATACGCCACATACCGTGTATTCGTCATTCTTTCTCCCTCGCCACCAGCTACTATCTACGAGAATAAGAGTTATGTTATGCGATCAGTGTTTCGTCGCGCTGCAGGGGAGTTTCTTTTTTCTGCTGCTGATAGTCAACGGTGGACTCACTCGCACGTGTCATCCTTCCTGACAGTCTGTCAGCTCACCACCGAAGGCGCTATGCGTAAGCAGGGGGGAGGTCGAGGCTCCGACACAACAAACCCAAAACTAGCAATATACCACACCCCACCTTAGTCATATGGTGGCGAAGTAGCCCACTGGTTTTCTTTGTGCTGAATGACCTGGTGGGGAACAGGTATGTCCCTTTGCCTTGGGGTTCAGTTCTGAGGCATGCCTTCTCTCCGCCCACGACAACGCTTAGTCATTTGTGAGTAATCAAACGACCGCGGTTTCTGAGTTGGTTTGCGATAGTCAGGAACGGCCATAACTGACTATGTCCTCCAGAGAGGACGAGGCGAATAATCGCGAGCACTGCAGAGCCGTCAACAAAGGCAGGAGGATCCTTATGTTCATGTTCCGTATGAAATATACCTGGAATTATGAGGCTATCCAGAACCAGTGAAAAATGTACACTTCTCAACTAGTCATTTTCTAGACGTAGGTCAGAACAGCGGGCGGAAAATAGCGCACTCAGAAACTGGTTTCCTGGTCTAACTTAGATACCAGAGGATCATGCTACACAATAACCAAGATTATAATCGAGATCAGTAATACTTCCGAATCGAAAACGCATTTCAGAATTTCGGTTTACGTTTAGCGAGACACGAACTAATATATACGAAGTTTGGGGTCATTTATTGAGACCACTTCGCCATCGCAGACCACAGTCAGCAGATGTAGTACCTTCTTAGTCGAATACGCCAGTAATCAGTGGGTTTTTTGAAGCACGCCGTAGGATGTCGAGGTTCACAAAACATTAATCGGACACTTTATATACAAAGGAAAAGTATTGCCTACGTCTTTTGCAATACAGACGAAC